TTTATATAGACTTTTCTTCCCATTGTACATGAAGCATATTTAAAGAATGTTGTTCTTTGTCACCAGTTATTATTTATTTAGTAATTTAATAAGTTATCGTAGACTTTCAATTTAAGATTTTTTAGGTTCTGTATTAAAAATTATTTTGCAACACAAAGCATGTTAAAAAATAATTATCCTCAATATAGAAGAATAAATAATATTTCTTACAATAAATATAGAATGAAAAATTTCAAGCAAAAAAATTCAAGAATGAAATTCTGTGGTTTTACTGTTACGTCCGAACTTCTATAAGTGAAGGATGGAACTCGTAGATTCGTTCTGTCAACAAATAAATTTTATTTTTGTTCATCAGGAACCACCCGTCGGCCCAAAGGCCTTATTTGCTTTTACTTACAGTATACTTTTCTTTAAAATCGTTCACTCGGCGTTGTGGTGTTACGTTTCACCGAGCGATATGCATGGAGTGGTGTACGCTGTTCTCGCGTTGACCTACTATTAGAGTTTATGTCTTATGCCATACGGTAGTATTTGTCTTTTTATCTCACGTCCTTGCAAAGATCTTTGTCATACAGTGTCTATTTTATTTTTCCTCGATATTCAATTTATTCATTAAGGTAAGAATCATGTGTCTATCAATTAGAATCATTAGATCTTGAAATATTTCATATAATTTAGCAATTGGAATGTTTTTGAATTGAGAAGATTAATTTAATCAACAACCAAGTTATGTCTTATCTGATGATTTAATAAATTTAAAAAAGCCAGAAATAGTTAATTTTACAAATAGTATAAATAATAAAGTTTCGGATTTGCATTTACAATGTTACACAATTTATAGTTTCCTTAACTTAACTTTCTTCTATGATCGTTAGTTAGCCGCTGCTTGCGCGCACGTAGTAATATCTTACAAGGTTGACCGTAACGATGTTCCTAATCCTACACGAGAGCACTCGTGGCGATGAAAATAATTAGGCTGCTGCTTTTGACATCGGAACCCAAGTCGACGGTCCTTTTTTTCTTGTTCCTTCTTGATTGACTTTTTAGGCGAGTTTACAGTGGCCTGGTTTGCTCGAGCTTTTTTTACACAGCTTAGTCACTGAACTAAGTCTTACATTTGCTTGAAATGCACGCTTTTAATACGTAGCTTCATCACCGAACTAAGTCTTACATCCGCTTAAAACACGCAACAGAACTTACTCTCTAACCTTTACAGTTACTTTCAAGCACTTGATGAAAGAGAAAAGGCGAATATTGGTATGTGCGAGGAGTTTTTGTACTCTTGCGTTTGAGGAGGACGCATCAGGTTTGGGATCCGAACGACCAATTGCAGCTTAACCTAATTACCCTCGACTGACACGAACACAGTCTTGGTGCAATAATTTCACAGTAATTGATGAATAAAACTGCTGATCTCTCGGAGTTTACATTAAGTACAAGTTGCTGTCGAAATTGTGTAAGATGTTTCTTGTGGATCTACGCAGTAAAGAATATTGAAATTATTGAGTATTCACATTCTTGAATGTACTACTGCGAATTGATGTTGTAAGATGAGCGTTTTATAAGATTGTTTGAGGTTGCGCGCGTAGTTCGAGTTTTGTGACGGTAGCTTGTTTCAAAAGCAGTAAGTTATATGTCACGCGATTGCAGAAGCAGGTATACCGCTCGATGGTTCGAGATAGCTGATCTTTTGTTTTTTATAATTTAAAACGAAACTCTGTGTTTTGAAGTAATATATATTAAGTATATGACATGGGATGTCACAGTACCATGTAACACATTTCTCGTTTATTTGATAAATTTGTGATAAAAGTATTGAGTGCTGTGAATCAATAAAATGTATTACATACAGTTTGTTTGTATTTATCAGAATAGTGATAGATAATATTGTAAACTTCGCAAAGAAAATAGTAGTCAAAATATATGTAAAAGACAAAATACATTAATGGTAGATAATCAAGTCCCATTAAAGCCACATGATTGAATTGCATCCAAATATAATCGAATTGTGTTGTCCTTTTTTTCATAACTATTTATATCGGATTGATATACGGACTCGACATTCGGCCAATCATTTTCAAATCTATTTTTTAACTTTAAATGATTTTAATGTGTTAATTTTACTAGTCCGTTTTTTTAGAAATTTTATACTGATAAATCAAATTCTTGAACCGTGATTTTTGTGCAATGTTAAAAATAAAGTAAGTATCAATTGTTAAATTTATTTCTTTCAAAGATAGATCATGAATAATATCGACAAAAATCGAATCATATTCGTGTTTTCGAAATAATTAAATGATTAAATTACCAGATATTCAAAACGTTTCTACAGTATTAATATTCACAGTGGGTATTAAAAGTTTGATAATTTTTATCCGATTTAATGGTATTAATCGTGTGTGTACATATGCTCTTTCGATCATCTTTTGTTTTTTTGTTGATTATTTAGATTTAATTATTCTCTCACCGACTCCAAGGTGCCAATTAAAAATTTTTAATATAAGCTTTTATGCAACTCATTGATTCCGAATGATTACGCATCAAGTTAGTCAAACTGGGAGATAGAGTTTGATCGAATTGAAAATTTTTATTTGCATGAGCTGAAGGATATCGCATTTTTCTGATAAGTTTCTGGAGTGACTTGTATTGAAACTTTATTTGGATTCTAGGGGTGTTGATTTTCAAACTTTTTAGGTATGTAATTTCCGATTTTTTGTTCGTGCTCGATGCCTAGGGAAAATTTACGTGATAATTGATGTTCGTCTTTGTCATTTTTTTGCGACTTTGACTTGGGTTTTTACAATTCATACTTGCACTTTTGTCCTCAGCATCTACATCAGCCAGAGCACTTACTAATGTTTCAATATTCGCATCATGATTGTATAATATTTCTTGTCGTATTGACCTGTAAAATTGGTTTGCGATTGATTGTAATACATTTTTTTTTCATCAGATAACATTCTAAAAACCTTCGCTGACCCTAGAATTTGTGTAGCAACCCGTGTAATTTTGATATTCCATCAAAATTTTATAAATTCTATTTTATGTTTTAAAAAATGCTTGATATTTGCGTCCAATAATGCTGATGTCATTTTTAAAATTAATTATTTTGAATTATAAATTTTAGATTCGTGCAAATACCACCTATCTTTGGCTTATTCCTACTAATAATCAAAGATTATGTAAGATACTTTGCTGTCTCAAGGATTTGCATAGTAGAGATAACTTTTTAACTCCGATAAACACTTTATTGGGCATTCTTTTTCAAACACTTCTTAATTTTGATAATGGTTCTGCAACTTCCGAAGTTGCACCATTGTGAGATAATGATATTCATGCGATTTAATGCTCCATTTTCTTTTCAACATCTTAAAATTATTAAGTGAATTTCTGATTATCATTGTCTAAATATTCATTAAAGTTATCCTTTTAAAAATATAAATCCTCAAAATCAATCTTATCGCTACTTGTTTATGTGCGTTTAATCGTATCATGCACTGAATCAATAGTCTCATTTATCGTTTTATTAAAATTATTAATTTTACGTATGACTTTATTTTGTTCCTAATGACTATTTCCAAACTTTTGCGTTATTTTTCACGTTCTAAATATATAACCGATATAGTGTCTTATAGTTCATCCATTTTTTATGGAATTCGTTTCGTATTGCTTCCACTTTTATCGAATTATCGATTAAGGCCTCAAGTTTGTTTACATAAGCCGTTAAAGCTTCGTTTTTCTGTTTTGTAATTCGTCTATGACGGCTTGTTGACATTCATGTATTGTTTTCCTATTAGGACTGTATTTTTTAGAGATCTCTAGAGATTCGAAAAGTTTATTTTTTAACATACCTTCTCGTCTACGCACACTCAAATTTTTTTTGTACAGTCGTTGATGTAAGATTTGGGACATTACTTACACTTTTAGGAATTGTGTTTAATAGATATTAATGCAATTTTTGAAACAGTATCACGATTTTAAAAATGGCTACTGCCGCTTACTCAAGCGCCAAGCTGTAACGTTCTAGATGCGAATACAATGCATCTACTATGAGTTTAGTGAATATCCTACTCTTGCTCCTTTGTCAAAAAAAAAAAAAATAAAAAAAAACACTGCTTCAAACTCTCTGAAATAATTCATATAACAACTTATGATGATAATGGTAATGGACAACTTGAGATTAAAAAGATAAGTCTTGTATATAAGAGGTTTTTGATGTTAAACACAAATTTCTGTAAGCGCATTTATTTTTAGTTTGTTTCTACTTCGTAATTTTATTTTCCGTGTATTACGCGTACATTATATCCTATACAAATGTTTCTTAAAACCTTTCTTTTCTTCCTTTACCAAATATTAAACCACTACAGTTTCTTATTCTATATTTCTACCCTTATCTCACTTAAGAAGATTTTTTCTATGTATGTACGCACATATTTGGCAGTTTTGTTGTTTAGCGTTGTTTTATTATCCACGAGCCATGTTATACAAAGTTTGGTTTGCGCATTTCGTGTAATGCAATTGTGTGTCATCCTCTTACTTATATTGGTATTGTACATTTTTAATTTAATGTTACATTTGTTTTTATTTTCATTATCTTCAAATATTTGTATATCTTTATACAATGTTGCCCTGAAGAAGACATCTGAAGCACATCGAAATATTAGCAGTTTTACGAATACAGTCATGCTGTATATCCAAACTTAAAGCACTATTTATTTTATATTGAAGTAAAATGCGTAAATTGTATTGAAAGTGAGATGACGGACAAACCATTTGAAAATTATGAGGGTAAGACCAGAGAAATTTTTGCAACTATTCGTACTAATTTGAATGGGCCAAATAATAAGATTTTTAATAATAAAGAAAAATATTTTTTAACATTTATAGATAAATACAGCAAATGCGCGAAAATCTATTGTATAAAATATGAGTGTATAATAGCAGGATACTTTTTTGATTATGTAAATTTAGTAGAAAATAAATTCAATAAATGATGTCAGAGTTGGCACGGTGCATCAACCCGATCAAATCAGAGGTCGCACGGTGGCGACACCTAGTAAGCCATGATCACAGCTGACGGCGAGAAGTGCGCGCGCCAAGCTGCTTTTGCTATCACCTACCGGCTGCTGTGCTTCGGCCGCTCTCTCTCTTGTGCTGATCCTCGAGCTACTTGGTTGTCTCCAAAAGTTTTCTTCAACTTTGCGTGTTAGTTTACTTTGTTTTCATAAAAGTCTTTATTGTATTGTATTTAATAATAACAAGTTAGATAGAAAGCTATAATTAAACGGTTTGGATAAGCTAGAGAAGCTAGTAAATAAAAGGTGTTGATATAATTAAATAGTGCTGAGTGTTTTTATTAATGAGCCCGCATCTTCCCTCGTGGCTTATATAGAGAATAAATAAAACTCTAGCAAAAGAGATAAAAAGTGTAATGTGACAATGGAAAAGAGTATTTGAACAAAGAAATTTTTCATTTTCTTAAATTTAAAGGTATCGAATTATTGATATGCCCACTTCATGTTTGTGAACTAAATGATATCGTGAAAAGTTACAACAGATTAGTAATGGATATCAGTAAATGTTTGATGAGAGATGCAAATATAAATTCGAAATTTTTACGTGAAGTAATAAAAACAGTAGTTTATTTAAAAATTAAACAATTGGAAACACAATTAAAAATAAAACACTATGTAAAATATTTTTTGGTATTAAGCTTAATGTAAAACATTTAAAAATTTATGAACGTAGGGTGTTTTTATGTAAACCAAACGTTAAAAGAAAAAAATAATTGAGATGATAAAACTGAGTTAGAAATATTGGGTATGCTCAATATGGTAATAGAGTACTAGTGAACAATAAACTGATAGATGCTAGACACGTTGGAGTGATAAAAGATAAAATTGAAGTAATTTGCTTGAAATAAATAAGAAACAGAGTTTGATCAATTAAGTGAAAGTGAATTTGATGAAAGCGAAAATAAAAACTATTAAACGAATGATGAAAAAAATGAAATAAGAAATAAAAATTTGAAAAGAAATCAATTAAAATGAATCGCAAGGATCGATTTCTAGAAAAAGAGATAAAAAAGATAAATTAATAACCAATCAGAAAATAAGAAAAGAAAACAATTCTATTAAAAAAAATGAAATCTAGGTGTACATGTAATATACATTAATGCAAATGTACTAAATACATTCAAGAAGGCACTTGGTTCAAAGAAAACGATAAACGGCAAAACTAGGAATTATCTTACCAAAGATAAAACGTGGGGTACAGTTGGAAAGCCAAAAGAAAAATTTTAAATGTAAAACGGATATTATTATAAAGAAAGTTAAAAATACATTTAAATTGAGACTAATTAGAAGAGATTTTCAACAAACTAAGATCATTGAAAATGTTTATTTGCCTGTTACTAAAATGCAAACATTAAAAATATTGTTTTTCATCGTTGTCAGAGTAATTTTGTTATAAATAATTTTTTTTAATTTCTAATTTGTTTCCAAACAAACAGGTGTCAAAATAGCGTTTGTAAATGGCCAAATAAAATTACAAATATGTATTAATCAGCCAACAGACTAGAAAATTGGTAAAACTAAAGTTTGTAAGCTAAGTAAAGCACTATATGGTTTAAAAAAATCCTAAGAATATTTTACATAAATTTTTAAGCGATGGGAATTTTGTTAGTAGCATTAACGTTTTTTCTTTGTATGTAAAAGATGATAGTGTCCAATATATAATTTAATTTTTGTTAATGATTGATTCATACACAGTAAATATAAAATAAAAACAAACCTTGTATAAAAAATTATAATAAAAATTGTAGGTAAAGTTGATAATTATACTGAAATTAAAATTAAGGACTGTAAAGAAAAATATACAATGAAATTGAGTCAACAAAAGTATATAAAGCCACCAGCGAAAAAATTTATTGTATAAAATATAATATTGTATGGTTCTCCTACAGAAACAAATTTAATAATTTAAAACTCTGATAGTTGTGAAGAACAAATAAAGTATAGAAATGAAATTAGAGAACTGTTATTAGTAAGTGCAGTTATTATACCGTATATAACATTTAGTGTAAATTATCTTAGTAGATTTCAGAAATGTTACAATGCAACTAACTATAAGTATGTCAAGTATTGAAATATTTAGTTAAGACGAAAGACATAAAATTAATTTATGATTATGATAAGAAAAGAAAAGTTCTAAACTGTATGCTAGATTTAGACTGAAATAATAATAATGTTGTCAAGAAAATAACAGGGCATGTAATAAGAATGTACAATAATGTTATTTTTTGAAAAACGTAAAAACCAAAATAAATAGCATAATTTATTGAATAAATTTTTAAAGCGAAAATTGAAGAATCAATCTACAACTATGAAGATAGTTTAGAGGCAGTTGCGATTGCGATGTATGGAAATTTTACAAGAAATTTGAAGTATATGGAAGTACTGTACCACCATGTAAATGAAAATTATGAAAATAGAAATATAAATAAAGTAAAAATTAATTCAAAAAATAAAATGGCTGATATTACAACTAGGAGTAAAAAAAAAACAACCCAATGTAAATAAAAAAACGTGAAAATAAAAAGAATGAAAAAAAAGTTTATAGCAAAATTAAATAAAATCACAAAAGGAGTTGACTGTAAAATTAAGGAAGCGTCTTTTAATGTAAGTAAATTGGTACAGTTTAGTCCAAGCACCAATCCACATGTAAATAACAACCATGAGTTGTATGCGCAGCTCCAAGCGATATAGATAGTCAAGCTCTATCTTTTGTCTTAAGCAGTCGCTCTCTAGTTGTTGAGGTCACGATGTATAATAGACAAAAAATTTATTTTTTAATATACATTATATTTTCAGCACTACCTTTTTTTATTACCAACAAATAATTTTTGGTCTGTAGTCTGGTTTTGTACTGCTTAGTAATTTAAGAAAATAGTATTTTCACTTGTTTGACTTTTGATTCCGCATTATACTTATAAACAACTCTGGCTTACAGCATTTCTTTATTATCGCACTCTTGTGGGCAACGTAGAAAGCTGCTATAGTATGCTGTTATTGAATGCGCTACCTGATTGGATAATTATTGTAGCCAAACATTTTGTGTAAACTAACTAAACTAAAAATAACATTAAACATTAAAATAAATATTTAATATGTTAAAATGATATGTCTTACTGTAGAAAGATTTTGTTATCCAACATAAGCAGCGTATAGTATAATTAAGATAGTGTTATTTATTTATGATTAGTCTTTCGTAGGTAATGCAATTAAGAATATGTATTTAAAACTGGAAGAAGTAGATTTGACAGCCCTTGTAATAGGAATACGTAACAATTTAATAGAACTAATTTTTTGGTTTCTCAATGACTACTTTAGTGCAGTTGATCAATGAACGATTTCAAAGTTTTCAAAACATGATGGCTTTTTATTTGAGGAAGTTCTGGAAAAAAAAATGTTAGGTAAGACTGAATCAAAATATGCTCTTTTTAGGAACATTACATGTGCGTATAAATTTTTTAATAATTTTTTTCCAGGCGTATTTTTGAGAAAAAAATCATTTAATTTTACTATTTAATATGGGCTCTAATGAGGGTCACTTAATAAATATTTTTCACTGTAGCTTTATTGAAAGTTTTTCATGGGATTTTTTTTTCATTCGTTTATCATTTTTTAGCTAACTTTTTAACTGCTTTTGAAAAGATTTGATTTATTTACATGGTTTAAACACAATTAAATTATCAACCCTCACAAAGGTCTACGTTTAATTGTGATTTTGAATTATTTTTTTTTGAAAAATGCGTCTAGAAAAAAATATTAAAAGAATGTATACGTACATCAAATGTTCTTAAAAAGAACGTAATATTGTCAAAGCATTACCTAATATTTCTCATTTTGTACATGAAACTCTTAAGTACCTTGACCTTACTTAGCCAAAAGACAACACACTTTAAAAACACAGATGTATTTTTTATCACTCGAATAATTATGAAATAATTAGTTTTGACTATATAAGTATGGGCCTACTAGTTGATACAGTAAAAAATCCAGGCTATCAAAGGAGAATACACAGATTTTTTTGTTGATCACTCACTTTTAAGTTACTTTTATTTAATCTTCTTTACTAATTTAATAGTAAGACAGTAATTTTACTATATTGTTATTTACGCCGTTTGATTTTTGAAAGGGCCTACTTTCCCAGCTGACCAAATCAGCCTTTACATGGCGTTGATAGCTGAGTTTTGATTCCAAAGCAATTTGCTAATGTTTGTTACAACTAATGTCTAAAAAATTTGACTTTTCTTATATCTTTAAATAATAGTGAAGAACAAAATAGTGGCATAAATGATGTCACGTATAGTAAAAGAAAGTTTAACGAATTAAACCGTATTCAAAACGAAAAGTGGGTCTCAAGAATATTTCTTAAATAAGTATGCCGTTGGGACAAACCACTGAAGAGGAGGCTAATAAAAGTTCTAGCCGATGTGGATGTCCGAATTCATCAGGGTTGTTTTCGTAGCTTGCTGTTGTAGAAAATCTGGACTGGTAGCACCAGGTCGGTTGCAAAAACGGCTACGAAATCCCAAATAGTTAAACTAAGTTGTGATAGAAAATAGCAATTTATTACAATATTATTTTCTTTATAACTTAAAAGCAAGTTTTTTAACCAACATTAAGGTGTTTCTATCGAACACTGTTTTTTTTAAATCTCTTATAATCTCATAAATTGTGTTATTGAACGTAAATGAGAATATCATATGGTCATATCATACTCAGTTAAAAAACAGTTATTTAGCTTACGCAATGTTTGCACAGTGTACCTTGCTAATATCCTGTTTACGACGTAAAAACAAAAATCCTGTTTCCTTTTTTTACTAAAATGTAAACTTTTTTAAATTAAATTTAAATCTTTGTCATTAACTTAAGATTCATCAATAGTCATGAAAAACGCTTAGACTAAAGAAACTTGTTCTCAGTATAAAAAAAAGGTAATGAATAAGCATTGTTTGTATTTATACTTATTAACGATTTAAAAATTTTTCTTTTAATTTTTTCTGTGTGAATAACTTTTGTTAGATTTAAAAAAAGTTCTTCGAATTAAAATGTAAAAATCCATTTGAATTTGAAAATACAATTTTTTGTTAGT